ATAGGGACAGTCCCGAGCAAATTGCATGCTCAACAGGCCCAGCCATAACTCAGAACAGAGCACCCTGCTCAGTGCTGGCTGGTCAGTGGCCCTGGAACCAGTCCAGGATCCAGCTACCTGTTGCAGCGTCAGCTACCGCAATCGCACTCACAATCCTCCTGCAAGCCGCCGCGGCAATGAATTATTTTAATGACGAGCGGGCCCTGAGCATGCGTAAGAGAGAGGCCGCCATATCGGGGTCCAGCCAAAAACCAGTTTCCCGCCTGCATTGGCCCGTTCCACTTCTCAGATCATCAGGCGGCCATTGAGAGTTGCGCTTGCAAGCAACAATTACCAAAAATCGAGCATAAATCGGGGGGAAATAAACTGTGCGTGAGGCTTAAGCCTGTTCGTTAAGCCGATTTTATCGGCGATCTGGCAAAAATTTCACCAGCGGGAGGGCCTCCCCTTACCCAGCGTCAATTTTCGGGGCACAATTATGTTGGAGTACAATTTGGGAGGCTGTACGCGCCACGAATACCTCGATCAGATGGGATGAGAACCGATCCTTCATGCAACGCATTCCGCATGGCACATCGTTTCGGCCTGGCCACTGGGGCTGAGAGAGAGCAGGAGCAAGTGGCCAAGCCACCACCTGCTCTTAGGAGCATGCAGATGCAGTTGCAGTTGCCTCCGCTCTCAGTGTCGGGTGTGCCAACGAAAAGCAATTAAAAACTGATTGCCAGCCAAGGATATTTGAGAAAAATTGAAAATGCCAAAGCTTTGAGGAGCCGGAGGTTGCCTGTCTAGCGGCCCATAAGATACACTTCGGGTTGGGGCTGGGTGTGGGTGTGGGTGTGGTTGTGTGGGACATGTGCACACCCTAAACGTGTAGCTCAAAATTTGATAGCCACACACAATCGCATCTTCAATTGCAATTCGAGCTGCAGTCTGCCGTTTGCCAGATGCAGATATATACATATGTATGTAGATATGTACAGCGTATGTACATACATACATGGCATGTGCATCTGCAGTGTGCGTGTATCTCAAAGATTGCGTCCGTGTTCGTGCTCGCAATTGCAACTCAATTGCGCATTTGCCACCGCAAGCATCAATATCCCGCATAGGCATAGAGGCCATAATCACGTCTGAAACACAGATCTAAGGAAGCGGGCTCACCTTCCGTTCCGTTCCGTTCCGTTCCGCCAACGCCTTTCCCTCGTACTCCCTGTGGCCAATTTAATTGACAGATTTAGTGGTCCTCGATTGGCAGTGCGGAAAATTAGTTTTCCGTCTCCCAGTAAACCTCAACCGACTTTCTGTGGCTTTTGTGCGTCGTCGTCGTTGTCGCATTTAATTGTTTTATAGACACTCCAATCCAGAGGGGTGCAAGTACTAAGAGAACATACACACATCTATTTGTACATATGTACAGCACATGCCTATGTATACATAGCTAGAGACAATCCCAAGCCAGAGACTAGCTGTGGTTGTGGGTGGGTGTGTGTACATCATAGGCAAGGTGAAACACGCCCATGACAAACACGCACGAAAATAGATTTAATTAAATTGCGAATAAAATGCGTAAGGCAGAGGGGCTGGGTCCCATGGGTGGAGCGACACATGTGTGCCAAACAGACCAATTAATCGATTCGCCATTGATTTGTCCTGCTCGGGGCTCGAAAAGGGTTCCTGCCAAGCTGTTTCGCCTTTTGGTTTCCTGGAAAGAAACGCTCGAAAAGGGGAATCAATTTCCGGTAGATGTATGGAGTTCAGTTCCCGGTAATCTGCGCGCATCTAAATGTTGTGTCTTACAGATACCAGGAATAGGCACTCGCTCCTCGGTATCCCCTACAGAAAGAAATTCCTGCTAAGCGGGGTATTCCCCATGCATCAAGATTGCTCTACAAGAGAGAGGAATATCTGCTCGTGGCAGGGGCCAGGCGCGTGACGATGACAAAAACAAGAAATAAATTAGAGCAGAAGGAGGAGCAAACCGAGAAACAAAATCGAATTAAATATAAGTAGTCTATCCACCCCCCCCCCCCCACACACACACACACCACATGCGTATCTGTATGTGCATCTGTATCTGTATCAGGGTATATAAATAGTTATAATAGAAGCATAGATCACACGTTGTGCCGCATGCAACATGGAGTCGCCGTCACCTGGAGATTTATTGCCGCTGGAAACGCTCCGAACAGGGGTGAGTCAGTCCGAGGGACACACACACCCATAGATGAAAAGAGAAGGCAGATACACAGAGCGAAAGAGCGACGGAGAGAGAGGGGACATCTATCGCTTCGTTTCGTTTCGTTTCGTTTGGTTTTTCGTTTCGTTTCGGTTCGGTTCAAAGTTCGCTGCAAATGGGAGACACGTAAACTGTCAAAACTTTAAATCCCTCAGGAATTTAAGTTAAAAAATATAACACGTACTGAGGACTCGACACGGGCACAGCTGCTCGCCCAAACAACGACAAAACCTTGAAAATGTATCTCCAGAATGGAGGAAGGAAACCCGTGGTGGCCCCGCGGAAAACCAACTGGAAAAAAATAAATATTCTGGAAAAAGATTTCCACTTCTCGCTGCTGCTGCGACTCCACCATCCCATCCACCATCCATCCTCGTTCGCAGTCCAATTCGTTCTCTCTCTCTCTCTCTCTCTTTCTGGCTCGTTTAAATTATCTACGAGAAATTTCGCGCCTTCCCATACAAAGTTGTATTGTGCCACCCCCCCACCCCCACACACAGTCCCCTCCGACCCACACATACCAGCATTTAAATTATGTACTTAGAAATACACAAAAATGTTCCAAAAGTCTACAAAAGAAAATGGCACAGCACAGCAGGACGCAGATGAAGAAGAAGCGCCGAGAAGCCAAAGAAGCAAAATGAATTTCGCACTTTTTCGCATAATAAATTTTGAAACTTGGCCAGCGCGATGGAAAAAAATCCAAGCGGGTTGAGGACAGAGGAAAAGCGAAGAAAAGTGGGGGCAAACCAAAGTTTCGTAAAAAGTTTATTTTTGCATATACAAGGCAGGGCAGGGCAGGGCAGGGCGGGCAGAGCCGCGGGGCGGCCATCTGAATACTCGGCGGCCGAGTGACAAATTCCATTTAAAATTGTCGAGCACAGCTCACGTACTCCACTGCCAGCAGTGGCAGCCTCTTCCTCCAGTCTAAGATGAAACTTTTGCTAAAACCTCCGCGTGATGGATACCCCACGAGAAGTAGCAGCAGCAGCAGTGGAGCGGGTGGGATTTAAGCTAATCAGCAAACGAAACAGGTTTAGTGCTAAATAAATTTATTTGTGAGTTCTACGCTGTTCGTATTTCTTTATTTTGTGCTCTCGACAGCTGCTGGGTGGTGAGAAATGCGGGGGAATTAAATATTAAGTATTAATTATTAATATTAATACAAAGACTTAAAGGCTTAATCTTATCTACCTCAGTATGCATATATCAACATTTTAGCGAATAAATGAATACAATGGATTATTAATTGTACAGAAATAAATACACACACACATCATATCTTAAGTTAAATATATTTCGCAAATCATTCGACTTGTCTCTGTCCAAGTTTCTCGCACCTTAAATTGGTGCCTCACATTATCACTTCACATTTTCAAATCTATAGATATGGAAACATATATGACATATAGACATATGTACGCATGGATAATAAATTCTTTGTTGGATGATGGCAATTTTATTTTTCACATCATTTTTATTGTCTATAAAAATGGTTCGCCATTCATTTAATGTAAGTCTGTCGCACAAGAACCCACACACAAGTGCACTCGGGCTCACACATATGCAAGTGTAATAATCTGTGTGTGTGTGTGTGTGTGTGTGCGAGAGTGAAAGATAAATGCGTTTTCACTTTATGACTTTCGTGTCGGCATAAATTTGTTAATACCTTTAGGCCAAATTTATAACATAATAAATGCTCATAATATTTAACTTAACATTGCGCCCAGGCTCAGGCCCAGGCCCAGGCCCAGGACCCAGCCCAGACTCGGAGAAAGAGACTCGGAATTCAAAATGCGAAAGTTAACATTGTCCGTTCGTCCTTCAGTCCGTGGCGAGGCTGAAGCGGAGAGTAAATTCTGATAAAATCAGACATGGTCTGGTTCTGCTTTTGCCTCTGATGCAGAGACAGAGAGAGAGAGGGAGAGAGAGACAAAGACAGCTATGGATGGATAGAGAGAGTGCGAGCGAGTGGCTGGCAACACACACGAAATTGAGTTATTGCACTGGAAGGCAAATTAAACTTCATAAATATTTAAAATCAGAGATTAAACACAGCAGCACCGACTGCATGTTGATGAGACTCAATCCCTGTCCCAGTCCCTGTCCCTGTCCGTGTCCATGTACGACTCAGGTTGCCAATTAAACGGGCATTATCTGGCATAACTGCAGTTTAAGTAGCCAACTCTCCCTATACCCCGTTGCCGAGTGCTGGCACGTTTCTCCTTTTCATTTTAATGTTGCAGCAATGACAGGCAGCAGCAACATCGGCCTGCCACAGCAGCAAACGATCAATTTAAAGTAACGATCTCGGCAAAGAAACAAAAACCGCAAGCCACAAGCCGCAAATGCAACTGGCAAATGGCAATACTCGTAAAAATGAAATGTATTTCTTTTGCAGTTGAGGTTTCTGCTGCTGGAGATCTCCTTTCCTTTCCCGCGGCCCGGCTGCAATTGCGCTTGGTTGTGCTGCTTGATGATCGTTTCAATTTGAGTTCGAGCTGTGCAAAAAGGAGAATTTATATTTACGACATTAGCCTAAAAACAGCACAAATGTTGGGCAGCTTGTTGCAGTTTTTCATTTTTATTTTCCCGACGATATCATGAAACTGTTTAAGATTGTATTTCGTCATGTACATTTTTTTCGACCTACTTATCAACGCACATCCAAGCGTGCTGACTGAAAGACTTTGTCAATGTTTTAATTAGATGTGAATTGAAGCGTGTTTGAGCCTTAATAACCTTCCAAATCTATCTTCTCTAGGTACAAATGGTCTGCGAAGACGCGGCCGACAGACATACACCCGCTACCAGACGCTTGAGCTGGAGAAGGAGTTCCACACGAATCACTATTTGACCCGCAGAAGGAGAATCGAGATGGCGCACGCCCTCTGTCTGACGGAGCGACAGATCAAGATCTGGTTCCAGAACAGGCGAATGAAGTTGAAAAAGGAAATACAGGCGATCAAGGAGCTGAACGAGCAGGAGAAGCAGGCGCAGGCGCAAAAGGCTGCGGCGGCAGCAGCCGCGGCGGCGGCCGTCCAGGGCGGGCACTTAGACCAGAATTAGGCGGAATTACAAAATACAAATACAAAGCAACTCTATATTGTAACAAAAGAACTATTTACTTAAATGAATAATATTTAAACATTTCGATGGTAATGTGCGAATACGAAACTAAACTAAAGGAATTATTTCAAGCGTTTGAGCAGCAACCGAAAATACGTAAAACAAACCTACAAACTAATTAAATAGAGTAAGTAAATAAAAGTAGTGGAAGAGCGCAACGCAGGCGGACTACTAACCTACTTAGAAGTATAAATTAAAATTAAAATAAACGAGAACGAGAACGAACACAACTTTAATTTAGTTTCAAACACACAAAAAGTGGACATTGATTCGCGGCGTAAGACTATGTTTATGATCTTTCCAAATTCGAAGTGAGCCTGCCCGCCCACCCATTTGTTGCTTACTGGTACGATTAAATTATGTTTCGCAAAAATACTCAAAAAAACTATAAAAATTACGAATAAAAATGTTGAAAGAAAGCATAGTTCTGTTGATATGAATTTTTTGGTAAAAAACAATTTTTAAACCAATTTAAACAAAAGTAAAACAAAACAAAACAAAAAAAAACAAAACTGAATGAAAGGAAAAGAAAAGAAAAGAAACCTATTAAAATGTAACTTAAATATAAATAGAATTTGTTAGCAAAGTAAAATATTACGAGCGGGAAACCGAAGAGCGAAGAGATGAGCGCTTTGAAGGATACTCGTACAATATTTGAATGTGTATAGTTTGTGCTTATGGAATAAAATTAATGCAATTTTAGTTAACTCTGTTTATTTGTAAACGAATTTGTGTAGTGGTCGCCCAAAACGACTAAACTGAAGCTGTTTCTTTAAGTAATGTGTAGTGTTTTTAACTCTTAAATTAAATTAATTCCTAATTTTATTATTATGTTTAGTTTAATGACAAAGAGTTTATGAGATTATCCGAGAGTAGCCCCGAGAAGGAGAACGACAAATCGTTTGCCCCGGCAAACGCAAATAAATTATTGGTTTTGAAAAAATCTAAAAAAAACAAAGAGAAAACGAATTCGATTATTGTGTTATTATTATTATTCTTATTATTATTTTAGTTTTTTGCCATTTCGTTTTTCTGCATAGAGCATAGAGCCAGAGAGCAGAGTGCTTTTGATCTCGTTTCGTTAATTGATCGTAAGTTGTATGCTACAGAGGATAGCGATAGCGATAGCGATACCGATACCGAGATACCAATATATAGTTTAGTGGATCCAACGAGCTGTGCTCGAACCAAGCCACAATATACATTGTACATCTCCCACGACGAGTGTATCGACTCTTCGTCTTTCAGTTCAGTTCTGGAACTTATCCCTTATTGCTGGTTATCTCCGAAAGAAAACCTACACAAGATGTATACGTAATTAGAGACTAAGATTCGAATATAGACATACACATATGCAGATCTTGATATACATATATATCTAGATATCTATATATTTATGTATTTACATGGAAGTCGAGAATAAATGGACAAACAATAAGAGAGAAAATATCTGCGAGACGGAAAAACAGAAGCAAATACGTAACTATGAAATAAGTTAAATGTTATAGATTTTAAATGCAAAGGCAACGGGAGCTGCAGCGGCAGATGCAACCGAAATACGTTGATGTATACATACACTGAAAAAAAAAAAAACAAAACACAAAAAAAAACAAAAAACAAATTATGTGCAGCGTGGATCGAGAGGGTATTCCATTCCCCGCCACAGCAAAACCCAAGAATAGACGCTAAAATACAATATTTACAGATTTAAATGTGGATTATCGTAGCAACAGATATACGTAAATACATAGTAACAGTAACTAAAAAAGAGACTCGGAGATGTCTTGCATATACATCAAATACGTATGTATTATGTACTACCCCTACCCTCCCTTACCAACTACTTAAAAATGTAATAATACCATGTACTATATGTACGTACTTTCTAGTGGCTTTTACTTTAATCTCCAACCCGCAGACAGACGGAGGCCCAACAGTTAGTTGAGATACTTCTTCTCCTTAATATGTATTTCCATCAGCCCTACCTACAACTTCTTTGCAGTTACATTTTTCTACTTGAACTCTTCCCCCATCCCCCCCGCATGAGGGGGTCCATGATCTCCGATCGCTCGGACCCCGCCAACTCCGTTTATTCTTAACCTACTCGTACGTAACTCTAATTTAAAGCCATTCTATGCTAGATCTGTAAGTTGTAAATTATCAATATAAACTATACGTATAAAAGAACAAACACAACAAAACAAACAGCAACCAGTGAGAATGTGGAAATGAACAAATAAATTAAACAAAACGATTTAAACCACTTGTGATTCAATTTTGGACTCCTTATAAAACTTGACTGGCGCACTTGTGCTTGAACTGCTAGCATCAGGATTTGCATGGGGCTGGAACTAGAGCAGTTCTTTATTGTGCGACACTTGGGATAAGATTGTAAAGCTCAACCTTGCAATATAGAATAGCGTTTTTTAATTATATTTAATATAGACATTTTCAAGGAATTTGAAATGTTAAATGTTGAGCAACAAATTGTATATTTACACACCAATGTTGCTAAGCGCCACTGTGCATATGTAGCCGGTATGTAGTATGCATATAGATACCATATGACAGCTTGGTTTCGAACCTCGAACTCGAATCGCTGCAGTGCCAGGGAAAGGTATGAACAACAGGCAAAAACGGCGAAGCTAAATTAAAAGGATCGAACGAACCAAACCTCTCATTCAACTCTCTAGCGCAACACACAACCTTTTCGAATTGGAGCACCCCCGCTAGAGGGCGCTCAAGTTAACAGCGGTTGAAAGCGGCTAACAGAGTTCTGCAGTTCAAAACAAACACATTAAAGAGGAGCGGCAACAGTGCTGCCGCGCACTCTGTTATGTTATTAAAACTGTTATAAAACTAATATAACTTGAATATACCTGTGCTACCAACAGACTGTCGCATTTTGCTCCAACCTATTATGCAGCGCATTGGACATTGGGAACTTTGAGTTTCTGACTTAAGAAATAAGGCTTAAACTAAAGCTTGAACTTTTAATGTGCCCGCCACTGCTTTAATCACAACAATCGAGATGCTCTCACGCAGAAATCAAGCCCGATCTGGCGCTCTTTAAGCTTCAAGATTATTGTACGAGTATTCTCGCATTATATGATACAGATAACACGTAGAGTCACGTTGAGTCAGTTCGATTAGTGAGCTCGGTCGGATTCGTTCAATGTTCGCTAGCGAGTGCTTTCCGATGGACTTCACATCAAAACGCATTTAAGGCAAGCAAATACATACATAAAGGGATCAGTGTACTAATGTATTTCCATGTGCAACATTAACGATCCACAGAAACTACCTTCAAAGCGAAAAGAATGCAGCTAAAATCGATTTTATTGTGCTTATGTGCGGTGGTGGTGTCGTTGGGGCCCAGAAAAAGTGAGTAAAGTTCGAAATGATAATAAGAACTAGACGAAAATAAACATATACTATGTACCAAATTCTCGTATGCACATTGTATGCTACTTATATCTATAGTACACAATGCACTCTCACAATCTCATTTGCTCTCGGAGAACGTCTTCCAATCCAGCATGTGTAACAATGCCAAAACAAGATTTGAGCCGGTTCATCTTGAGATCTCTCGTAATATTTTCACCCAAGATCTGTCTCTCGCTCTCTGCTTGTATGTAGGATTGAGTGTTGTTGGAAATAAATTAACAGGCGACAGCTTGAGCCGGCAGTAATATTGTTCTCCGGCGTGTCTAGAATTTATAATCGAAAGTGATAGGAAAGTTCATCTGAAACAAAAGCGTTGGTCAATATTCGTGTACACTTCTCCCTGCAGTAAACGCCGAATGTTCGACTTCCCAGTTTGAGTGCGACAATGGCAGCTGCATATCGCAATTCGATGTTTGTAATGGCGTGAAGAACTGCCCGGACGGATCGGACGAGACATCGTTGACGTGCATCTCCCAGCGGCAGCACTGCTTGAAGCCCTACTTCCAGTGCAGCTACGGGGCATGCGTCATAGGCACAGCCGGTTGCAACGGAGTCAGCGATTGTGCGGATGGTTCGGATGAGACGCTAATGCGCTGTGGCAATGAGGACGATTTGCGACAGTACGATCGACTTTTGCAGGGCAATTGCCAGTGAGTAGAGGACTCAGCCGTGACCTTAATGGAAACTTTACACAATTTACTCAATTCTTGCAGGGATGATGAGATCAAGTGCCCGTCTGGCATATGCCTGGACAAGCGCGAGACTCTATGTGACGGCAAGGACGATTGCGGTGACGGCACCGGCTTCGATGAGTCGGTGGATTTGTGCGGGCACCTGGAGTGTCCGGGCTACTCCTTCAAGTGCGGCACTGGTGGCTGCATTTCGGGATCACTGAGTTGCAATGGGGAGAACGATTGCTTCGATGGATCGGACGAGGCGCCACTGTTGTGTAATACAACCAAGAAGGTGACGACTCCTACCTCTGTTGCCATACCTTTGGAGCAGCTGGGCTGCTCCTTGCCGCTGGGAGACGAACGTCCCATTCTAAAGGATCATTATGGTCGCATTCTGGCCCCGCCGATCACCAGGGCCACCGTTTACTTCTCCTGCAACCCCGGCTACATATTGGTCGGCGACGAATCCAGTCACTGCGCCAACAGAAAGTGGAGTTCCGAGACAGAGCCGAAGTGCGTGAGTGAGTAGATCCCCAGATCCCCATTCAACCGATATTTATTCTCTTCTCCGTTTGCCCCTGCAGAATACTGCGATTCGAAGGGCGAGTTCGATGGCTACTCCACCAAGGCCATATGCACTTCAGCTGGACAGAATGTCGACTGCAATCAGCGCTATCATCCGCCAGGCACCGAGGTTAAGTTTGTGTGTGCCACCGGCTTTCAGACACTCAGCACCATTCTGCCGGAGATGAAGTGCATGAAGGGGGGATACTGGAACCGCCAGCGGCAACGCTGCGACCAGGAGTGTGGCCGGATAGCCACTCCAATCAAGAGCTTCTCGGCCAACGGGTACACCATCAACAACACGGTGGTCCCATGGCATGTGGGCCTCTACGTCTGGCACGACGAGAAGAACTACAACTTCAAGTGTGGCGGCTCGCTGCTCACCCCAGACCTAGTCATCACGGCTGCCCACTGCGTGTACGATGAAGCGGCACGACGCGCCTACAGCTATGACACGTTCCGCGTGATCGCAGCGAAGTTTTATCGTAACTACAAGAATACCACCAGCGATGACCGCCGGCAGGACGTGCGGGATATTATTATAGCACCGTAAGTATGGATTAGACAGGCTCTTGCTGATTTTCCCTTGCCTTACCATATCGTATTTTGTTATTGCAGTGGCTACAAGGGCAGGACGGATAACTACTACAACGATCTGGCCCTGCTGGTGCTGGATGAACCCTTTGAGCTCAGCAACGTCATTCGGCCCATCTGCGTCCATTTCTCGCTCTTTGCCGAGAAGGAGACGATCAATAACGATGTGCAGGGCAAGTTCGCGGGTTGGAGCATCGAGGATAAGCGAGAGCTGCAGTTTGTGCCTGCAGTGTCCAAGATGAACTCCGTGTGCCTGCAAAATCTCAGGGACATTCATCCGGACAAGTTTTGCATATTCACGCAGGGCAAGTCGCTGGCGTGTCAGGGCGACAGTGGCGGCGGATTCACCGCCGTCCGCCAGTCCAACGCGTTCTCCCGTGACACCTCTCGCCATTTCCTGTATGGCGTCATCAGCAATGCACCCAATGCAGACCAGTGCGCCCACAGTCTGACGATACTGACCAACATACAGCACTTTGAGGAAATAATTACAACAGCGATCAAAACTAGCATAAATACCAGATCGTGAGCTGTGTCCATACTTACATATCTACCTATGATTATTTTTCTTAAGATTCAATTAAAACTAGTCAAAAAAAAAAAAGAAACTCCACAATTATTGCAAGGGTAAATAGTTATAAAAAATACGGTACTCGAAGAGTAAATGGAGTAAAATTAAAGTATATATTATATAGCCATTTCTGTCTGTCCGTCCGTCTGTGTGCGGCTCTAGGGGATGGTAAAACTGAGTACCGGGTATAAAAGGTGTGACGCGTAAGAAGCGTCTCACACATCCCTTCCCGTTAGTTCTTGGTTTTAGCTGATTCTCGTATGTTGAACTTGGGCACACGATCCTTTCTGGCCAATATCTTGTTGGAATTATCCTCTATATTAATGGTGCTAATAATGAGATTGACACGTCGCTCTATGACGCCAATGAACAGCTTCACATTGTGGACAGTTAGGAAGGTCTTCGTGCTGAGGACATTGAGGATGGGCGCGTCGTCACAGGCCAGTTGTCTGATAATTGTTTTTATTCAGTTAAAGGTAACTGTAGCATAGGATTAACCCTAAAATCTCACCTGAATATATCCTCTATCCCCTTAAGGAGTTGCTCCAGTCTGATGCTCAGAGTTTGCTTCTTTTCGCTGGTCTCCTTTGCCAGTTGTTCAATGCGACCACGCTCTGCATCTAAATAGTCCAACGCCTCGGTCTTTAGCTTCAATTCCTTCTCGGTCTGCTCCGATTTTTGTCGCTCTAAGGTAAATGTCTAGAGTTAGTGTCTGCTGTTCCCATATCGCTTCTTTACAACTCACCTATTTCGTCGGTTAATTCTTGTGTGGAATCGTTTAACACCTCCACCTCGTGACTTAGCTCATTCACGTAATTGAACAGAGCAAAGTTCTCATCCTCCTGGCGCTTAAACTGAGCCACCAGGCGGTCCGGATCGTCTTCGCCATACAACTGCTTAATCTTCTCAATTATTTCTTTGTATTCGAATAGTTGTCGCTCATAGTTTTCCTTTTGATTTTGCTTCTTGTCCAACTCGCGCTGCTCCAACTCCGGATTGAGACGCTTTTGCCCCTTGATGTCGAAAAACTTTTGCAACTTGGCATCGTGCTCCAGGCGCCTCTGCATCTCACGCATCTCTTGGATGTGCATCACCTTGTCATTCTCATTGCGGTCCTTCAGCACGGACAGCTTGTTGCACAGTTCCTCGCGCTGATCGAATGCCATTGTTGATTGGTCAATCAAGTCCATGATGAATTTCTTGCCCTCATTGAACTGCGCTACCATCGCTTGCCACATGTCGTTGAAGTTTGCCCTGAAGCCAAAGGAACAAGTTAAAGGGGTCTAGGGCATTCCCATTCGTACCCTACGTCTCACCGATCCTGCAGCATGTGGTTAATGGCATCTCGCATTTTGCTGTTCTCTGTGAGGACATCGCTGCACTTTTTATTGACCACATCCAGGCGATTCTCCAGCTTGACGACGCTCTTTTGGACCTTGCATATTGTGTCCTTGTAGCAATTGTCGGGCACCTCGTTGCGCCTCAGGCTGTCGATTTCCTTTTCCATTTTCCGAATGTGCCCCTCCAGCTCCCACAAATTGGTTCGCTCGTTCTGAAGCACCCTCTGCAGGTCCGTCTGCTGTCTCTGCAGTGCTCCCAGATGCCGTTCCTTCTGCAATTAGAGCACATCTAGGATTAGAATTGGGATAACTAGAGTGCGACTCCCACCCACATTGGAGTTCCTCCGAGCGTGCGTTCCTCCCTCCAACGTCTTGATCTCCTCCTTCAGCTTCTGGTGTTCGGCCTGTAGCACGTTTATCATGTGGTTCTGCTTCTTCAGTCGCTTGGCCTTCTCCTCCAGCAGACCCCGAAGATCGAGCTGAAGTGATCGATGCTGTCGCTGCAGCCTCAGCAATTCGGCAGTGGCCAACTGGTCAAGTTCGCTTTGGTCAGCCATGAGTGTCGGATCTACTAAGTGCAAGTATTCAAAGAACTAAAGCTTGACAATCCGTACACTTTGCTTTCCAATGATTTTATTTGTAAACAACCTTGCTGCATTATTGTCGCTTGGTTACGGCTCATGGTTTGAGCCATAGCCTTCGACTTGCTTAAAGTGAACTGAATACTTTCAGAGTCATTGGAAAAAAAGGCTCATCACTGATATACTACAAAGACTATCCTTTGAAGATGTGTCCATGGACTATATTAAAAGGGGCAATAGCTTAGGTTTTACCTTTAATCAAATGGGGACATGAGAAAGTGGAACGTTTTTTTACCAGTATGTAAGTACATTAAAATAAATTCCATTTACCACTGTTCAAAATAAGAACTAGGTAGATATGTACTTTACACATCAAAAGCACTGCAATCCATTGCAAAGCTTAAAAGCTTTCATATCTCGAATTTCACAAGCCCTCGTACCCGTGAGTCAAATCTCTCGCTGGGTGTATGTATGCGGAGAGTGGGGAGTGTTTCAAAGTCTTTCAATCATGTCGGGCAGGTACCGCAGATTCTGTCCACCGCCACCCAACTACAAGACCTTGTTGGAGGCAAAATATAAAGATCGCCTCAAGCGACTGCAATACTTGGTTAAAATAGTGAATCGGCCCCTTCTCATTGTTTTGCATTTGTTCGCCGACGATGTTGTGGCTTTGAAGCATTGGATAGACATGATCTATGAACTGGCGGCACCCGAGGCACATGGAGCGGAAATGGATATCTTCGTCGACGATGTGTATGGGGCTTATGTCTTCAATGAGTACGAATTTAATTTTTATCGTAGTGAAGATATGGGCTACTCCATGGAATCACCTCCACTAATATACGGTGTAACGGCAGAAGGCAGAGTGGTTTTCTTTGGAGATTTGGAGGGCCCACATATGCCCACCATAGAGAGTCTGAAAGAGTTCTGTGAGCAGTTGACGATGGGCACCATAGAGCCACCACCGCTCTGTCCTGTCAAAGTGCTGCATGTTGATTTGGCCAGCATGAATAAACTCATTTATTCCGAGAGCCTCGACATTGCGCTGTGTTTGTACAGCTCTCTGCAGAATGGCACGGAGGTGAACAAAAATTGTATGCAATGTCTGGAGACATTTTCCGACAAACTGAAACAGGAGCCCATTCGTTTGTATAAAATGGATACCCACGGTGTCATTTTGCCAAAAAAGTTTCAAGTGGAATCGACGCCCGCATTGTTCTTTCTGCAGGGATCCAGAAAACATTGTCCAATTCTATGCAAGTACAACCTCAATCTGCAGGGTATGCTGAAATTTGTAGCTGGAAATGCAAGCACGGAACTACATCATTATAATCGACTTGGACACCTCAGACTTTATGTGGAACTGCAAATGCACATGGAAGATTACTTTGGCAAAAATTAGCAACAATATAAACTTATATTTAAATTTACTTCAATTTCTGCCATATGATTCGGCGTGACAACTATCGCAAGATTCAATATAACCGATGTGCCATCGCTATGTACGACCATCGCTGTGCACTTATTTATTTGTTTACAAATACATTTAGTTAATTTTAGCGAGTATTTCGACTCGTGTTGCTGGGAAAAATGTTGAAGCTGCAAGCGAAAGCCGAGTCAGACCGTTTCGCGGTCTTTTTAGACCACAGAAGACTTATTAACGAGGCATACAGTAACGGAGATTACCAGCTCAAGTCGAGCCTATTTCAGTTTGAAGCCAAAAGAGCACAGCCGCTTGACGAACAAAAGAAATCAAAGAAGCGGAAGCGAGTGCCGGAGGACTTACCAGACGAAGCGGACTCACACACTATTGAAAAGTATCTGGCTGTCTTGCCCACGCCCGTGGGCCGTAAGACAGCAACGCCTCTACCACGGTATTGGGAGGCTCCATACACACTTCCCCAGTTGCACGGCGCCAATCAGAGTGGACAGGTCCAAAAATTTCACAGCGGAGATGAGGCCAACACCAGCTACATCATACCGGACAGGGCGCGCTTCTACAATCACAATGTAGACCATCTGCCGGCACTGTTGCCCCAACTCTTGCCCAGCTACGATCTGATTGTAGTCGACCCGCCGTGGCGCAACAAGTACATACGACGGCTGAAGCGTGTCAAGCAAGAGCTCGGTTATTCCATGCTAGACAACGACCAACTAGCTCTTCTCCCGCTCGCCAAGCTGACCAACACGCGCACCCTTGTGGCCATCTGGTGCACGAATTCAATCCAGCACCAGACGGCTTTGGAAACACACATTTTGCCGAGCTGGAATCTACGCCTGCTCCACAAAGTGCGCTGGTACAAACTAAGCACGGACCACCAGCTTGTTGGCCCTCTCCATGCAGACCCGACCCAGAAGCAGCCCTATGAAATGCTTTATGTGGCCTGTCACACCGATAGTCACGAGAACTACGGAAAGGATGTACAAAAAGCAGAGCTAATCCTCAGCGTTCCCAGCATTGTGCACTCTCATAAGCCGCCACTTCTGCCATGGCTGCGACAGCATATAGAATTGGATCTTAATCAAGCGGATCCTAATTGTCTAGAGCTTTTTGCACGTTATCTGCAGCCGCAGTTCACTTCCATTGGATTGGAGGTACTAAAGTTAATGGATGAGCGCCTGTACGAAGCTCGCACGCATAACATTTAGGGATGCCAAGTGCGACTCGCTGTAAATTATTGACTGAATTATATAATAATTGTTTGTGTATTTAAAAACGTCATAAACCGCGACACCTGCAATGGCTTAAAGTCATTTTTTCTAATGGTAAGTAAGCGTTAAATATAAACAAAGCTTGATTTTAACAAATTTATTTGTGTACGGATTGTTAATGAGAGCAAATGCAGCAAAAATGTTGTGTGTGAGACAAGGGAAAGGCTGCTTCAATGCAAGCCAGCGGCGCCGTGTCCCAATATAAATGTTAAACATAGGGGGTGGTTGGAGGTTGGGTGTGTGTGTGTTTGGTGTGTTTAAATTAGATATTACAATTTATTAAGCATTATTAATACACATTGTGTTTGTTCAAGGACTATTCCTGGCCTTGGGCCATGGCGGCCGGATTGGTTGGCTCGTTGCCACCGCGCTTCTTTGAGCCGGAAACAATGTCATCAATGCGCAGCAACAAAATGGCTGTTTCAACTGCAGTCTTATAGGTCTGCAGCTTGACGGCCAACGGCTCCCAAATGTTCTTCACGTTCATGTCCACAATCTCGCCGGACTCGCCGTCAATGCCCCAGGCGCAGACGCCGTCGCCGGTGTGGGAGGCGTGCTTAGCACGCAGAGCGGTGAGAGCCCGAATAGTGTTGGCGCCACAGTTTTGGGCCAGGGTGCGAGGTATGATCTCCAAGGCATGGGCCACCGCCGTGTAGGGTCCCTTGACCTGCTTGCGAGAGAGGAGCTGGGAGGCAGCCATCTCCACAGCACCACCGCCAGCCACAAGACGCGGCTCCAGCACCAGATTGCGGGCAACATTCAGGGCATCTTGGAGATTGCGTTCAGTTTCATTGAGAATATCCTTGCTGGCACCGCGCAGCAGTATGGTGCACGCCTTCGGGTCCTTGCACTCCGTGACGAAGGTGAAGTACTCATCGCCAATTTTCTTGATCTCAAAGAGACCGGCACCAGTGCCCACATCCTTCTCGGTCAGCTCCTCAGTGCGGTTGACAATGGTGGCGCCACAGGCCCGGGCAATGCGCAAGTTGTCCGTCTTGCGAAGGCGACGGATGGCAGTGATTCCTGCCTTCAGCAGATAATGCTGTGCCAGATCCGAAACACCCTTCTCAGTGAACACCAGATCCGGCTTGACAGCGATGATGTCAGCACAGATGCGCTGGACAAACTCTTCCTCGATCTGCAACATGCGAGTGAAGTCCTGCTCGCCAATGATTTCAACATTGGTCTGACTCTCGCCCTTCTTGTACTCGAGAGAGCAGTCGAGCAGAACGATGCGAGGATTTTCGATGTAGCGACGCATTTTAGGATGCGTCACATCCTTGTTGATCATAACGCCCTTGAGGACACACGACTCTTCGATGGCACCGCCGGGAATTTTCTCCACCTTGGCATAGCTGGCAGGATGAGAGTACTCTAAATAATCGAACTAGATAAACAAAAGGGAAGCTCATACCGCTTGATGTCCACCTCCAGACGACCGTTTTCATTCAGCGTAACTGTCTCTACTGCATCCAGTGCAATTTTGACAGCCAGATCTGACCACTTGCCAATGAATTTCGTGCCCACACAAGCCTTGACTACTTGAGCCATCTTTGCTTTGTCCTTGACGTCCAACTGCACGCTTAGGTCAGACAGCAGGTGCCCTACGATGTCTTCGAGGGCCTCGCGGTAGGCACGAATAATCACTGTTGGATGGATTTGCTGCTGCAGGAATGGCTCAGCGGCGGCGAGCATCTCACCAGCCAGCACAATGACGGAGGTGGTTCCATCGCCTACCTCTTCGTCCTGTGTGCGGGCAATCTCAATCATGCTCTTGGCCGCCGGATGCTGAACAGTGATCTCACGGAGGATGGCATTTCCGTCGTTTGTCATCACAATGCCGCCCATGGGATCCATCAGCATTTTCAGCATGGCCTGTGGGCCTAGGCAAGTGCGAATCACATCAGCAATAGCCTGGAAAACAGCAATAATATCAGCAGATGGCCACCAATGAAGGCGAGGAGCTCTCGTCAAAACCAGACATGTGAGTCACACACGCACTCACACACTTACCTTTCCGGCTTGAATATTCTCCAACTGCACTTTGCGGCCAGACTCCCGTTTTGTGTTTTGACCTAGGGACACACATTGTAGGGCCAGGCGGCTTTAAATTAATGTTAATTTAATACTTACTCAACACGAGTATTGGTTGCTGTCCACCAAACATTTTTGTATATTCTTTAATTTATCTCTACGTGAAAACAAATGAAATAAACTCGTGCTTGCCGCTGTGCTGAATGAGGTTAGAGACGCCGATGACACACGGTTCTAGAAGATTCGATAAACATTTAGTTGGAGTGACTTGTTTTATTGATCTTCGCATCTGCTATGGTAATTTGGTAATAGTATTAATTAACGCACTTGATATCTTGATTTAAAATCAAAGATCCTGCTCAAAATTTGAGTTTTCCGTGGAACAAAACAGGCGCGTTTCTGCCGATAGATTCAAAACTGCTTTGGAATTAGGGTTTTAAAAGCATCGATGTCTGAGTCGATAGTAGGATGGTGTAGATAGCGATAGATTTACTAATTTTTCTGACAGTGGATATAGATATAACGAGATATAACAGCTTTTTGGTAAAAAATATCTAAACATATTTATTTATAAACTAACAGCCCTTAAAACAGGGAGACCAAATTAGCGAAATAAAACCGAACAACAGCAAATGCCGATATATCAGAATTCCAATCAGAACTCACAGCTACATCTACATCTACTCTACAAGAAATACTCATATGTATGGTATTGCAGCCCTAGTATGCATCCCGATCCCATCAGCTGTTGAATTTTGTTTATAATTTCGGCATTTTGTACAATATATAGAAAGTGATAAATAAGAGCCCCCATGCAAGCCATGGACACAAAGAAAATATCATTTGGCTTCAGTAAAGTGGCCAAGAAGCCAAACATTTTGCCCAGCAAAGTCCCAAAAGAGGAAAACAGGGTGGAGCTGATAAAATGCGTGGAAGGAAAGGAAATCAAGCTAGTCGCGTAGGTGTACATATTACTTTTAAAAACATATTTAATTCAATGTTTTATGGTCTCTCAGCGAAAGAACAGAGACTGCGCCGCTGGTTATACAAATGCAAGGAAGTCAAAAAACCTCCTCGGCGCTTGCAAGTCTGATGAAAAGGAGGCAAGTTCTACTTGGTGAGGATGAGCCCGATCCCGAAGAGTCCACATCCGCACCTCAATCAATTGCAGAGGTCACTGCAGCAATGGCGGCTGAAAACCTGGAGCAACGGGCAACCCGTGAATTGTTAGCTGCTGCCCAAGAGAATGGTAGCGAAAATCTGAACGGGGAGAAGCTCGTTCTGCCTGCAGTTAAGGCAGATGAGTTGCCGCTGGAAGGTGCCAAAGAAGCCTCCTTGGATGATTATGACTCCATACCAATCCAACAGTTTGGTCTTGCCATGCTTCGCGGCATGGGCTGGGTGGACCCACCGCCCAAGAAAAAAGGATCAGGCCCTGTCGACGATTCTCCATTTATGCGACCAAAAGGCATGGGCCTCGGAGCTGACAAGGCACTCAAGCCCAAGGCCCTTCTTGTGCAGCCGGAGAAGAATGAGGTGCTGGAGATCAAGAAGCAAGCCTTTGTCCGAATCCTAGGAGGGAAGCAGAAGGATCAATACGGGCAAATAGAGGGATTCGATGACCACGCGGGCCGAGTGATTGTCAGAATGGCAATTGGTGGCAACAAGGAGGCATTCAATGAGTTTCTCTGCCAGCCCGTATCCCGCAAGGAGTACTCTCAGTATGGAAAGTGCATAAGTAAGTGAGCCCACAACCTTGGCAGTGCGAGAAAACAAGGAAACTAATCCTATGTCCATTGTGTTCGAATTTCAGATAGTGCCAAATACAATGAGTTCAAAAAGCAGGAGAACGAACATGGCCAAATCATTGTGAAGCAGGAAAAACCTTCGGAGGGCAGGAGCAGAGACCGAAGAGAGGAAAGCAAGTCATATAGGAATGAAGACCGGGATCGCAAGAGCTATAAGGGGGAAAATCAGAGATCGTTCAAAGATGAAGACCGAACGAGCTACAAGGACGAAGATCGCAAATCATTCAAAACGGAGAGTCGCACAGACAGAAATGACAGGTCGGATAAATATGAAAGCAAACCCAGCAAGGGAGAGGATCGAAGGCCGCACAAGCTGGAGGATCATGGAGAGAGACCGAAATATATTCAGGACCCGCGAAGCAGCAGCACTTCCGCATCCAGGACGGGCACCATGCAACATCAGCGCGAGGAGCGTGAGCGGCGACGTTCGCCGAGCCCAAGGACCATTCAGCGGCAAAAGAGCAGCTCAGACGAGGCGGACGACACGGGCGAGTCCACGGAAAGCGATTCAGACTCTGCCTACGAACGCAAGAAACACAAAAAGAAGTCCACCAAGAAGTCCAAGAAGCACTCAAAGAAATCAAAGAGCAAGTCGAGTCGGTCCAAAAACTCTAGTGCGGAGAGCGACGATAGCCTGGACGAGCAGCGCAGGCACCCAAGAAAGCACAAAAAGAAAACCAAGAAGAGCAAGCATGCCCGATCCCGATCACGGTCCAGATCGCGGGCACGAGGCAAATAATAGGCTGATTTGATCTATTCATTTGAATTCTTTATTTAAATATAGTTAGACGCTTAGGTTTCTTTTGTATCTTACGCGGGATTATCATTAAATTTCAGTTAACTCACAAAAAAATCACAAAAATGTATTTTGTTGCGCTTTTAATTGCTCACATCGGCTGCCTCTTCTCTTGCCCGATCTGACATTCTTTTGCTATTCCATTAAGAACCTAAACTATAAATAATGATAGGGCGAACTCCACGTTGGGCTCTTCGAGATTTTCAAAAGTTTATGATATAAATAGTTACCATGCTCCACACTTCCACAGATGTTTGTATTGTAAATGCGTTTGCGATGTGCATGATGTGATGGCGAGTTGATGATGACTTAGGTTTGTTTAATATTTGGTCATATGTGATGGCTGTGTGTGGTGCAGAGGTGACGAGGAGCAGATGCTTTGCTTGGCTCTTTACTGCAGCTTCCGCTTGCCGCATTGAATTTTCTCGTTGATGAGCTTGGAGGCCTTCTGTGTGATGCCCTTGAAGACATCCTTGTCCTGCAGACCAGGCCACATGGCAACAGAAAGAGACACAAGGTACATCAACAGAAGATTGTTGACGATGGCTCCAATCCAAGCCAGGGCCAATAGGACCGAGCTTATCATGATCACGACCTGGGAAGAGAATCCCAAATGTTAATGCGTTTTTGATAGCCACTTTTGTAATTATGTTTGTGTGTGTTCTTACCACTGTCGACTTGCGCTCCTTGAACATATACTCATTCCATACGACCAGGTTTGCCTTGATGCTGTGAATTTGTCCGCAAACATCTTCGAATTTGGCCTCATACTCTCCATCCCAATTGACGCCACTGAAGAGCAAGCCGGAAATTATGGGGAAGACATAGCCCGAAACGGTAATCAGCAGTGCCAGAAGCGACAGCATCGTTATGACCGACAGATCCATCAACCAGAGCACGAGATAAATGACGCTTATGGTGCCAAACACCACACAGGGGTAGTAGTTCTTCTCCCAGGTGAGGACGCCATACACATTCACTATAGCATTTCGGAAAGGCTCCAAATCATGCTTGAGCTTGTTCAGCGCGCGCTTCTGCAATGTCAAGTTTTCATCACAATTGAGGCGGCACCGCAGTTTTTTTTTTTTGCTTTGCACAATGGCGACGGCATTAGCCCAGCCGCACATCAACCTAAGCGCTGCGCCATCTGCTTACCTGGTCAACCTGCGAAGTTGTCATTTTTTCTGTTCTTTTTTCTTTTCTAATAGGATTCAGTTGTGAACGTAGCTTTAATTAAAATTAAAGCGAAAAATCAATTTGTTTAGCGGCCACCAATCAGTGTGACCGTTATCGATCAAATATACAGACAGACTCTCGGAGATATACCGAAATATATTCTTTCATTTTCAAAATATACCGTCTCCTCAATCATTTTCCTCGACTTTGATCTTCTGTTCATTATAACAAGCTAGTTAAAACTCTCAGCTTTCAGACAGTGATTTCAATAAAACCATTATTAAATTCTCCACAAGATTGGTACATTTTAATGACTTATCTTTTTTGGATTGATTGCAAAATAAGTTTGTCGCTAAAAAGGGTAACCAATAAAATTGGCATAAAATGTTACGTGAGTGGGAATAAAATGCTACGTCATTTGACAATTTGTTGCTGGCTAACCGATAGTATAGTATAGAATACCAGCTGCTTTGTAACGTTAACTAATATTCGTGGTTATGTATCCCCAAGAGTATATAATATGCCGTAATTGGTCACCCTGGCCAGTGAATTAACCCTCTTAAAATGATCTCGAATTTTGTTTTATTTCTATTGGAAACTATCGATGTTTTGGAAGCCCTCGTATCGAGCTTTTCTCGACTACTCGTCCAAATACTCGATTAATTTCAAAGTGACTTGAAGAAATTCAGCACGAAACAGTTTTAATTTTAATAATACACAAAAATACAAAATGAGCTGTCCTGGATTCGGAGAAGTTAATATACCCTCGTCGCGCGCCTTTTGGGATGATTGCGAGGAGGACGAATTCGAAAACGTCGTCCAGGCCGAGAAGTGAGCGTTTCTGTTCTGAGATATTTACATGAACTTACGAATTAATTTCCCCAAACAGGTTGCAGTTGAAGTTCGACAGGGAATCTGGCCCAGACGTAGCCGCCCTGCAGAGCGAGATTCTGGTTGTCATCGAGGGTCCTAATGTAACGCACTTTGGCAGCTCGGTGCTGCTGAATGGCACGACACGCATATGCGGCATTCCCCCTAAGACATCTTCGCTGCACTGGAATCCCGCAACAAAGCAGCTACTGGCGATTCTCGAAGATGATCTCACGAGCAGTGGGGAGGTCACAGAGCTGCTCTTACCCTACGCCAAGTTGGCCAAGAAAGTAGTGACCATCACGCTGAAGCCAAAGGTCGACTTTAAGAGTGAGGAAATTCAAAAATATAGTGACGATATAGCCATTGTGCGTGGTGTGGGGGTGAACGAGAAGGATATAATTGAGCTCGAGGCACCCAACTTTATAGCCGGCGTGGCGGCGGGCAGTAAGTATTATGAGGAAGCGAACCGCTGTCGTAGATTCCTAAACTCTTTCGTTCATTGCAGTTGCTAGCTGGCGAAATCAGGCTGACCTGCCCGTGAGCTCGTTTGCAGTCTACACAGACAAGCTGCCACTGGACTCGACGGCTGCCCAGCCAGTGCTCAAGCTGCTCAAAGGTTTCGTGTCGTGCAGCCCCAGCTACGTTCCGGCGCGCAAGGAGAGTTCCTACCTTTACATGTAATCCAATTGTGGTGTAGATTTTTATTTTCCAACCGGTTTCGGTAGTAACATTTCACAATAATCAATATACAATGATGGACCCGACTTATTTCAATACATCAAACATGCTCAAGTCCAAGTCGCGACTGCGGCTCTCCATATGTGCCTTGGCGATGGCAATGAACTGCGGACGCTTGAGCATTGAATAGGCCGGCACGATCAGTGATGAGGCAAGCATGTGCAGTTCTTTGTGGCCGCTGCAGAACAAGTCGATGCCCAGTTCCAGGGCAGTGCCAAAATCGCTTTCGTCCACAGCGATAATGGCAGCGTTAGCCACTGGCTGCAACTTCTCCAGCACAGCCTGCTTGGCAAGACCATCTCCTAGATCCTTGCGCTCAAAAAGTGCCAATATTTTCTTGAGCTCGGCGTCGCTAACAGAGAGCGGGCGGTAGCCCAGCTGCGTCTTGCGATCGAAGGGCACCACGATGCCAGCTCGGTGGAAGGCCTTGGCCACGACGCTTTTGTTCCGCTCTCGCTGCAATCGATCAAGCTGGGCCAGCTCCAGTGAGTTTTCAGCCAAATAATTTTTCACCGCTTTCTTGGTGGCGGTCACTTTGCTGGCGGTGAAAGGCGTGCTCACAAAGTCGTGTTCCAGGTAGAAGAGGAAAGCATCGAATATGTTTCCGGACACAAACTGAAACTCGCAGCCACTCGCCATGTCGTTGCGGGCAATCAACAGGTTCTCCTTGTCCTGCGGCACGTCCCGCCAATACCCGTAGTGCACGCCAGTGCCTCGCCGCACAAAAACTGTCTGGAACTCAGGTGGATCATAGTAAAATCGCCAATGCCTGAGGTAGTCCCCGGGCTCGCCCATCTTGGCCTGATGAAATGTGCCCGACAGAAACTCAAACGGGCCCACCAGCTGCAGCTGAAACACAGTCTCGAGGTGCTCGACGGCAGAGCGATTGGACCTCGAGGTGTCGGGTACGAGGGTATTGATGAACTTCCAGAATTCATAGAAGTCCGGCGGCATTTCGACAAGGAATTTGTGCCTGATGAACTCATTGGACTCGCACAGGGTATCGTACTCCTGCTGCACGGAATATCGAATGCGCTTCTCCATGATTTCCATGTAATTTTTTCCAGATATGTTGCTCATGGCCTCCCTGTGCAACACGGCCGTCTCCGACTCGTACGTGCCCTTGGCTTCCCCATGACTCTCCATGTTCTGGCTGTCTGCACTGGAATTGCTTGTGTTGGGCTTGGGCTCGCTCCCCTTTTCCTCGGCACTAGAAGCATTTCTTTTTGGCGCCAGTTTTACTGCTTTGTCCTCTTGCCTGACATCTGTTTTGTCTGGATGGTTGTACTTGGCCAGATGGGCCTCATTGCGTTGATAGCACTTTACCCCGTATTTGCAGTCCTCCTTGGGCATTTTTCTGTTTCAAATAATAATACAATTTAACAATTTGTTGTAAACAAAATAACAATCTTCACGATCAGTGTGACCAATAATACAATAAGACAATACAAAAATATACCGTCAATATACCGTGTCCTAAATAGTTTTCCTCTATTTTGAGTTTCTTTTTAATATTTGCAGCTGGTTAGGACTCGCAGCACTAAAACTATTATTTCACCCGATTTATGAATCTATTTTCTGTGGGCTAAGAGCTTTATTTTGCAAATAATATTGAATCCACCAGAGGGAAACATAAAAAACATCAGTATGTCACTTTAGATACCTTTTACCGTAAATATACATTGATATTAATATACCGCAAACTATATCTTATACCGGAAATGGGCACCCTGTTTCTCTATGCAACAAGCAATAAGAAAGTCGATTTTGATTCGGGTGATTTGTTTGATTTGGTTTTAATATTGTAGTTCATTCAATGAATACAAACTGCGAAAACATCGAAGAAATGTTGATGGTTGGATTGTTAGTAGAGCTACAGGTATATATGGGCAGGGTATAATAAAACACATTCTGATGATGGAATATGCAGCTAATCCTCGACAGCACACATGACCGAGTAGACGCACTCCTCCTTGTTGATCAGGTGGCATGTTTTGTTTACCAGGGACATCAGCTGATTGACATCGGTGGCCCAATTGTTCAGGATATCGGAGGCGCTCTTCTTCGTGGTGAAATAGATAATACCAGCGGGGCGATCGATTTTCACGCGAATTGTGTCGGTGTTGGCCAGCTTAGAGAGATATTCCTCACAGCGGCTTGCGGGTAGATTCAGCAGCTCACTCATGCGCGCTAAGTGCAACCGGGAGTAGTACATGGCAATAATGCGAATATTCTGAAATAAATATATAAAATGTAACGAAATGATGCAGCCTCTTCCCTTCTTATACATTTATCAGCTTACATGCTCTATCAGGCGATCCTTGAGCTCGGCAATGCACTTCTTTCCATGCTTGGTGGCATCCTTGAACATTTCATTCTCGGCCAATACCAAACCAAAGTCGGCGTTAAATGTATCAAAGTTAATCAGCTCCTTCGACATGAAGAGGCGCAAAATTTCCCTAAAACAAATATTATATATTTATAATCTGCCACTAATCTAGTTTTCCATTTCATACTTGTAGACGGGAACATCTTCCAGTTTCTTGTTTTTGGACAAGTGAGCCATCATGTCGCTTTGTTCGTTGTCGTAGGGGGCCAGGACACAATAGATTACAGCACAGACCAGTTTTTCCGTCACCTCTTTTTTCTGTGCTTCAGTCAGTTCGACCTCGACTTCCGGCTCCGCAGCTGCCTCCGACTTCTTTTCCTTTTCATCCTCGTCCCTCTTCTTCTTCTCATCATCAAGTTTCTTCTTATCGTCCGTGGCGGAGTCTACGGGCGTGATTGCTGCTTTTTTACGTGACGGCTCTGCAATAGCCTGGTAGTGACGCGAAGTGTTGAGAAAAGATGTATCGCGATTCAGTTGGATCATTAGGTTGTAGAACTTGAGCTTGAGATCATGCTGAGCCGGATCGTCAAAGAACTTGATGCTGATCTTCTTGGCTATGATTTGTGTCGACACGTTGTCCTCCTTCAGCAGACAGAGACGCATTTGCTCCAAAATTAGCTCAACCTTCTCCCGCTTGTCCATGGAGCCGTACGTCTCAACCTGCAGCTCTTCCATGACAGTAGCAGCCGCCGCGACATCGCCATCGGCCTCCTTGATGTCGGCCAAGGTTTTGGTGAGTCGAGCACGCTCGATTTCCACGTAGATCTTGCCCTCAGTGACCGAGCGCAGAGTATCTATCAGCTTGAGCTTAGTCTCCTTGTTGGGCGTCTTGTCCACATACGTGCAGCACTCCTGAATCATCTTCACGACAGCCTGTTTGAGCTGGGAGCGTCTACGCACCAGAAGGGTCACGTACTCATTTAGGGCATTCCAGTTGGACGCATCGAAACATATCTGGCAAATCGCGACAAGGACGCGCGAGCAAGACACCATGTCAGCGCCAAGGCGCGTCTGTTTCTCCAGTTGCAGCATCATCTCGATGGCTTCGTGGAAGGCGTCGGGATTCTTTTTGGCCAGCTCCTTTGCCAGTGGAATTTTCTCATTACAGGCAGGCTCATAGTCCACC